ACTTTAATCATGATGGACAGGACATGTAGGTTGTAATGTGAGACAGAGAGTTAGAAATGAGTGTTTAGAGTTCAGGTGGGAGGTCAGGACGTGAGGGGTAAATTTGAGACTCAACTACATAGAGGGAAATAACGAAAGTTATGGAGATGGATGGAATTCTCAAAGAATCAAGAAATTCATGCATAGAATTTTGGTAAATCACTAGCACTTTATAGCATAGCTTTCTTGGTTGCATGAAAGGTCTCTTGCTAAAGATTAACAGAGGCTAACCATGCCTTAGTGATGGAGGAGCAGCACTGTCAGATGTACCAGGTGAAGGCTGGTAGATGTACAGAAATGTACCAGGTAAAGGCTCACACAGATAAAAGTACAATTCCTGAATTCCTTCTGAATAACTACTGCAGGGTGTCTTGCCAACAGTGAACTGAGCAAACACAAGTTTACAGCTCTGGAGTGATATCCCAAAGCAGATGAGCTTTTTTTAAAAAAATCAATATATGTCCTTGAGTCAACATTTGTTACACTCCTAGGCTAGCAGAAATGTAGCTTTTTGTGGAATCTGTTATCATGGTTAGTTCTGACTCAACAGGAGTCACTCAAGCCAAAGTAAACTACAGTTTGTCAAAGTGTTAACTTGTTTTGTAAACAGTATCTGTCTTACCAATGCTACTATGAATTCATATCAGTATTTAATGTTTTATAGCAATGAAAACATGCTAGGGAAGAGATTGCAATGAGTTAAAGCAGATATGAACTGAAAGCCACATTCCTCACCTCTAAAAGCAAAGCAACTGACAGGACATTTCTTGAGAGGTGTGATAGTTAATTTTATGTGACAACATGAATGAGCCCAGTACTTGGTCAAACATTATTCTGGATGTTTCTGTGAGGGCACTTTGGATGAGATTTACATTTAAGTTGGTGGACTCTGAGGAAAGCAGACTGATCTCTACCATGTGATTGGGCCTCTTCCAATCAGTGGAAAGCCTGAATCAAAGGCTGACCCCACCCTCCAACTCTACCCCAGAGCAAAAGGGAATTCTGCTAGCAGACTATTTTCAGATGTAAACTGCAACATTAGCTCTACCTTGGGTGTCCAGCCTCAGAGTCTTCAGACTTGAACTGCAACGTGGGCTCTTTCTGAGTCTGCAGCCTGTCAGCTCACCTGCCTCCTCCACAAATGCCTTTCTGACACACACACACACACACACACACACACACACACACACACACACACACACAGTGGTTCCATTTCTCTGGAAAACCCTGACTAATTCAAAATGGATGGAAGGAATAAAGCAACCTAACCAAGTGATCTGAAGAAACTGAAAGCTATGATCCAGTTTACTTAGAAAAAAGCAATCTTGTCAAAAACAAAATGGCAGAAAGCACACTGACTGAAATATTAAATTAGTTAAAATGATTAACTTATCAAAAATGAAGATTCCATTCCCCAAATGTTTTCAGTTCTTGGTAATTTTTATGCATCACTGGCAGTTTTGCATACTTTAGTTTTTCATAGTATGAAAATTGCTCCTAATCTTTTAATTTCAAATTCATTTTCTTGTCCTATGCATTTTATAATAGTGAATACTTTAAAACCTTTTTTATTGATCAAAGTTAGACTGTTGTGCATCAACTGGCAAAATTAAGCTACTTTGTGATGGTTCCAAAGTTTCAACAGCATCTTCATCTTACGTAGCTGTATGTATTATTTGAATGGTCTATTTTCCTTTTTTTATAGAAATAAGTGAAAGACAACAAATTGAAGGGTTAAAAATTGTGCTAACAAGAAAAGGTCTCACAGAGTTAGCATAATTGAGATAAGATGGAGATCAGTTGGCTTAACTTCTATCATACAATCATTAATCTTTACTCACTTGAGGGTTCAATCATGAAACAAAGAACAAAATCTAAAATAAGTAAGAATGCTATAGCAATATGATGAAATATTGTTTGATTGATAGACAAAGGGTAATTAGGAATTTTATATATTTTTAGCTTTCTGGGACTGGAATGCCCTTCATAATATGTATGTCTATTGTTCAACTTTTCACATTCAATCTCCTCATATGTTTATGAATATGTAATTATAGGATAGTGCTTCTCAAACTTTAATATGCACACACACCACCTGGGAATCTTATTAAATCGTAGATTCTAATTTAGTGGGTCTGGGATAGTGCTTGGTATTCTGTGTTTCTAACAACAGATGATGCTGGTCCATGAGCCACAGCTTTAGTAGCAAGGTTACAGGAGACTCAAAAGCGCAAACATTGCAAAAAAAAATACTTAGTCTATGATTCACCAAAATTACCACTAGGTAGAAAAACAGTGACTGATACTCCCCAATTCTACCAGTTGATTTTAAACCAAATTGTCTTCAACTTTGCTCATCTTCCTGTGGTTGGTCCCTTTTCATTCAGGTATTGGTTCAAATGTCATCTTCTCAGAGATTTCTCTAACCACTCTACTTATAATAGCCTACCCTTCTGCATCTACCTTACAATTTCATCTGTGGCTAAGCCAAATTTTAGGATTGAAGTATTAATATTAATTACAAAGATTTAAGAATTATCTTTAATATTTTTATCAACTAAAAATATCGTTAGGCATTTTTAAGCCCAGCTTACTTTTACTGGAGAAGAAATACAGAAAATATCTTAAAGTCATCATATAGCTTAATGAATTATTAGAAACAAAATATCTGATAAACCAGCATCCTGGTCAGGAAATAGGACACAGCCATTTCTCAAAAAATATGTTTGCATGCCTCTCTCCAGTCCCAACCCTTCCGTGCCCGGATATGTAACTGACATCCTTTTAGTGTAACAACTTCCTTGCTCGTCTTTTAGTTTTTAGCACTTAAGTATGTGTCCCTCATTATAATTAAGCATCATTTGCCTACTTTTAAATGTTTGGAATCAGACAGTATATATTCTTTTGGATTTACTTCACTTGGTTCAATGTTGTTTTAAACACGTTTACCCCCATGTTGCCCTGTGTGGCTGTAGTTCTCTCATTTAGTTTGCTGTATAGTATTCGACTGTATAAATATATGACAATTTACTTGTCCATTTTATGCTAATAGATGCTTGGGTTGCTTCACTTGGGCTTTTAAAAATGATGTCACAAACATGTTTGTATATGTAACTTCCTACACATATGCACATATTTTTGTAAGGTATGTACCTAGAAGCAGAATTGCTGGGTTATAGGGTATAGAAATCTTGAGGTTTTTCTGTATAATACCCAACTGTTTGTTCAAAGCAGATGGGTCAATATATACTCCCACCAACAGTATATCAGCATTAGCATTGCTCTTCTTTGCCAACTCTTGCTGTTATCCATCTTTTTAAAATACATGTACATATACTTTATCTCTCTACTTCAGTGGATGCAAATATTCATCTTTCAATTTTAGTTGTTCTAGTGGGTGACTAGTGGTATCTTACTATAGTTTTATCTCTGCATTTCCCCTGATTACTAATGAAGTTGAACACCTTTACATATGTTTTTTGGCTATTTGGATATTCTCAGTTGTTAAATACTTGCTCAAAATTCCTGTGCCCGTTTTTCTATTAGGTTGTCTATTTCTTATTAATATTCGAAATATTAGAACAATAGCAATTAAATACATTCAAATAACTTCTCCCTTTCTGAGTTTCGTTTTTCTATTATCTTTAATATCTTTTGATGAGCAGTTGTTCTTAGTTTCGATGTAGTACAATCTATCAGTCTTTTCTGCAAGCATTATTGCTTTGTGTCCTGCTTAGGACTAGAACCCAAAAGTCAAGAAAATATTCTATATTCACAGAGGCCTGTAATCCATCTGAAATTAATCTAGTGTATGTGAGATAGGGGCAAAATTTAATTGTGCCAGGATCATGCGTTGAAAAGACTGTTCCTGCCAAGTGTGATTCCTATAACATCCCCATTTAACTCACCTTTTGGGCTTGTCCAGAAGCAAGTTGGTCTTAGAAGGTAACTGCAGATTATCAAATTTAAATAGCGAGTGGCTCTAACTACAGCTGTTCTTCCAAATGTAGTCTTATACTGAAGAAATCAACATATCTCTGAGTACTTGATATCTAGCTCTTGATCTGGCAAATGCTTTTTACCATATACTAATTTGCAAAGGCCACTAGAAGCAACCACAGCCCCACACTTCCACTTTAGGACTATACCTTACTTTAGGACTATATCAACTTTCTGAATCTGTGTCAAGGACTTCATTCATTTTAACATCCCACCAAACATGCTGATTGAACCCAGTGAAAAGAATGTAGCAAACATTCTAAGTGCCTTAGAAGACACTCATCAGAGGGAAAAAGATGAAACCCATGAAAATTCAGAAGCCAGTTATCTTAGTGAAGTTTTTAGGGGTCTAGTGTTTTAAGGTATATTCCAGAATATTCCAATGTGAAAGGTTACTTGCTTTACCTTGCACTCCTACCATTAAGGTATGATGTTTCCTAGGTATCTGGCTTTTGGTGGTAATATATCCCATATTTGAATGTGATACTCTGACCTATTTACTGATTAACTCTTGGAGTTACCCGTTTTGAGTGGGGCCCAGAGCAAAATAATAGGCTACAGATCCAGACTGTAATGAAGCTGCCCTGCTACTTGGGCTTTATGACCCTTAAGATCCAATAGTGTTCAATATAGTTACGGCCTACAGTGATGCTATATTAGAGAACTCACAAGCCCAATCGAGCCTTAAGATTTTATATCAAAACCATGCCCTCTTCTGCAAATAATTATCCTTCTTTCAAAAAAGAGCTCCTAGCTTGCTACTTGGATCTTAGATAAAATAGAACAATTGACCAGGAGACACCAGTGGAATGTAGGACTGGAGCTACATAACATGAACTGGGAATTACATCATTCATGAAATTGTAGAGTTGGGCATGTACAAATGAAGTAATATATATGAGATCAGGCACAACTGGGTCCCAAAGATACAAGTGAGCTGCATGATCAAGTGGCTCAGTTACCTATAGTAGCTACTCCTTCCACGTAGCTTCCTCTTCCTCTGTCCACACTGAGGATCTTATGGGTAGTTCCCATAACTTGATAACCATGGAAGAAAGATTTCAGTTCTTGGTTTATGGGTGGTTCTTCAAAATATGCTGTAGCAATTTCCACTCCAATCTGGAGTGGCTCTGAAAGACAGAAGTCAAGAGAAATTTTCTCAGTGGGTAGAACTTTAAACAATGATCCTGGTTGTGTACCTTTTCTCTAGGTAGAGATGCCCTGACATATAGATTTACAGTATTTCATGAGCAGCAGTGAACAGGTTGACCAGGAGGTCACAGACTTAGAAAGAACAAAATAAAAGGACTAATGAAATGGAGATCTGGAGCAAAGGTATATGAATGGAGTTCTCAGGCTGAGCACAAAATGTGAGGATATCTGTGCCCCATGTGATGTTTATCAAAAAGCAACAACTGCAGAGAAGGCCTCCATTAATCAAATAGATTAGTTGAATTCTCCTGTGGATATTAGCCTCTTTCCTTAGCACCCCAGCGCTTGCTCAGTGGGCTCAGGTACAAAGTAAATATGGCAGCAGGGCAGAGGTTATTCACTGATTCAACAACAGGAAATTCCCCCTCACCAAGGGTGATCTTGTTACCAGCACTGCTGAGTACCTAACCTGCTATAAACAAGGACCCATAGTGAGCCACCAAAAAGGCCTCTCTGACTCAAAAACACCAGCTACCTGGTGGCTGATCAATTACATTGGATCCCTTCCCTAATGGAAGGGCCAGCAAATTGTACTTACTAAACTGGCACTTCTGGATATGAATCTGAAGTCCCTTCCTATAATACAACCAACCATGATCCTATAGACATGATATCCCTCACAATATAACTTCTGAATCAAACTCATTTCACAACAAAATTAATGTAGCAATGGATAAAATTCATAAGCCTCTCCATGTACCTAGCCACCCAGAAGTGGCTGGCTTGGTAGAATAATATAATAACCTATTAAGACTCAGTTATGCTGTGTGCAGTGGCTCACACCTGTAATCCCAGTGCTTTGGGAGGCCAAGGCAGGTAGATCACTTGAGGTCAGGAGTTCGAGACCAGCCTGGCCAACATGGTTTAGTAGAAACCCTGTCTCTACTAAAAATACAAAAATTAGCCAGGCGTGGTGGTGTGCACCTGTAATCCCAGCTACTCAGGAGGCTGAGGCATGAGGACTCACTTGAACCCATGAGGCGGAAGTTGCAGTGAGCTAAGATCGTGCCACTGCACTCCAGCCTGGGCAACAGAGCAAGACTATCTCAGGAAAAAAAAAAAAAAAAAAAAAAAAAAAAAGGACTCAGTTATTTGTCCTGGTGGGAGACAAGCCCCTAAGAGATTTAAGTGCTATTATACAAAAGGTAGCATATGGTTTGAACCAGTGATCAGCATACAATTTTATTTCTCCCATTGCCAGAATACATGGGTCCAGCAATCGAGGAATAAAAATAGGACTGATTCCTCTCAATATTATACTTAATAACCCTCTCACAGAATTTCTAATTCTCATCCCTGTGAACTTGGACTAGGCTAGTTTACAGGTTTTAGTTCACAAGGAAAGCAAGCTTCTACCAGGGCACATAAAATGATTCAAATGAATTGAAAATTGAGACTGATGCCTAGATATATTGGGCTTCTTATGACACTGAACTAAAAAAAAAAAAAAAAAAAAAAAAAAAACAAAAACAAAGGAAGAGATTCCTTTGTTGGCTGGGATGACTACAGGGATATTGGGTCGCTGCTACACAAGGGAAACAAGGGCCCCAGGGGAATCTCTGGATTGCCTCTTAAGACTTATTTCACAGCGAAAATTAGTAAGCACCCCAACTACTAAGGGCTCAGACCATCCAGAATGAAGATTCAGCTACTCTACCAGGGAAAGAACACTTGCCAGCTGAAGTGCTGGCCAGGACCAACAAAAAATTAAGTAGAGGAAGAAGTTACAAATATCAACTGCAGCTTCATGACCAGTTACAGAAACAAGTACCGAAGTCGTCGTGTAAATGTGCTTCACTGCTTTCTACATATCTTTGTATATAGTAACTGCTTTTTCCTTCCCCGCTCAAGCCGTAAGAGAACAAGGAATGCCACCAATAGTAGTGATAGTGAACTTTAGTTTAATCTTCAAGCTACAGAATACCCAGGTGGGACTGTGACTAAACTAGAAGAATTAACACCAATAAGAACATTAGCAACTGGTGAGACTTGTGTCTCCCCTTTCTGAGGGAATGGTGAGTTTCATATTTAAACAACAGAGAGTTAAATCTACATAGACAGAAGCATAAAACTGTGATACTGCCGCAGAGAAATTTAAATATGGATAGAAGGATGTGTGGACACTTAATATCCGAAAGGAAGGGTCGTGCTGGTTGGTTGTTTTCTGTGGGCACTCAGCCCTCTCAACATTTCACACGCATAGCCATCCTTCTATAGCCAGCTCTGTTCTCCTGAGGCTGAAATTCTGCGATCTACATTCCCCAGACTTCTTTGCCAGCTTGATTCCTGTTAGGCTTGTCAATAGAAGGCACTTCTGGGAGATCAGAAGGTAGCACAGATAGTGCTGTGATCCTTGTTGGCAGCTGGTACAGCGGCAGCCAGGGTGGAGTGATTTCGGATTCCAGCGGACTAGAGACAGCGCCTATTAGCAATTTTAGCTCTGGTCTAGGCAGCGCTTGAGCAGTTTCCAATACTGCAGTAGCAAATACAGGCTATTACAACAGTCTTCAATAGTGCAATAGCAGATGTAGGCTCTTAGCAGTTTCTGAACTCTGAGTGTCTCATTCTCCTTTTTTTTTTTTTAATCCAGCACCCCTCCCTCTCCTTTTTACTCTTAAAGCCTGTTTAATTTGTAATTAATGTCTGTTTTAAATTTACTGTTTGAAATGCCTAGACTAGTTTTTAATTTCCTAACTGGGCCTTAACTGATTAACCATCCCTTGAACTCTTGCATTTTTCAGTTCCAGAATTATTCTTTTTTTTGAAATAGTTTCACTCTGTCACCTAGGCTGGAGTATAGTTGCACAATCTCAGCTCAGCTCACTGCAACCTCAACCTCCTCAGTTCAAGCAATATTCCCACCTCAGCCTACTGAGCAGCTGGGACTATAGGCGCATGCCACCACGCTCAGCTAGCGTTTTATGTATTTTTTTAAAGAGATGTGTCTCATCACACTACCCAGGTTGGCTTCAAACTCCTGAGCTCAAGCAATCTACCCGCCTCGGCCTCCCAAGTTCCTGGGATTACAGGTGTGAACCACCACAACCAGCTGATTTCTATTGCCTGTTTTCTCTGATGTTTCTCACTACTATCTTGTCTCTTCATATATCCACTTACCTCTGATTGTTTGCTAGATACTGAATTTTAAAATAATTCTATGTAATTTGAGGCGTTAGGAGGATGTTAGCTTCCTTCAAAGAAGATTTGGAGGATTTGAGAGCATTAGAATCACAGAGACCTTCATCCAAGTTAAAGAGTTAAGACTTTCTAGACTCACCAGAATCCTCAAACCTTACCTATAGTCTAGCACAACTGGTTTATGTACAGTTCACCTTTATTAACACAGTGTAGCCCTTTGGGGGTCCTAACTCTTGGCTCCATCTACTTCTTCCTCCAGGCCCCATGTTTACTCCCTAGATCTCCAAGCTGCAAAAACGAACTCAGCCCTTCAGCTAACTATTGCAGAGTGGCAAATGTACCCACAGGAAAAAATAGCCCCAGGTGCTGGGTTTACTACTCTGGATTCCTCTTCCCTCCAGAGTTTAGCCTAGCAATTCTCACTGTCTAACTGACTTTGATTCTTTTAAGAGGATGTGTTTTATATTTTGTTTTTAGTTTTCTTCAGTGAAAAGCTGGTCCAGCATTACCGAAGCAGAAGTCTTAATTATCTTTTCATAAGTATCTCAAGCTGAAAAGAAAGCAGCAGAGTTTGAGGCAAAAATATCAACGTAACTAATTAAGAGCCTCTTACTCTAATAATGAAGAAATACCAAAGACAAATAGCCTTGTGGTATATAATTTTAAATTTTATTTTATCCAGAGGTCAAATTACTTTTATAGAAACCGTTAACTCTGTCAAGGTTTACTTTCATTCTGATGTGTATGTATTCGCCAAAGACTTAGATGTAAACATCCAAGAAAGTAATAATAAGCAATACTTTTTAAAAATAATTTTAGCAGACAGAAATATCATTAAGTTAGAGAAAGTCATTACAGCAAACATTCAAGATGATCTGATTCAAACTCTTCTGTAAAGAGTCCAATTTGAAGATGAAAGGCTAAAAGTGCACCAGAAAGCATAAGCAGAAGGATATTTTTGCAGAGAAGAGTCCAGGTAAAATGTTATTATATTATGATCACCCTCAATCCATCTCAATCATATGGCCAATATTCTCCACTCTGTTCCTTTTCATTATTTTAATTTTCACTGAAACTACAGGAAATCAAAGGAAGGGGTAATAATGAGCAGCCCCAAATTTTCAGACCTATTTTCTCAGTTCTGCATTCCAGAAGGGAAGCTTCTCCTTGCTATTCATGCTCTTCCCATAGAACAATCTAACCACATTTACCAGTTCTCAAAAAAAAAAAAAAAAAAAAAAAATCATAAATACACCAGAATGAGATTAAATAAACTGAGAACCTCTTCATTAAAGAAACTCCATAAAATAATCAACAGATAGGTACAATTAAATTACAAAGGTACCTGAAAATAAGACAATCAGGTTGAACTGACATCACCACAGACAAGTACTATCAGGAAACACTGCTCAGCCGGCCACAATGTTCTCCTTACTTCCCTCCCCGATCAGTTATAATTGTATAATGTTATCACTATACTTCATAAGCGGCAGTGAAAGGGATTCACTTGGCCTTTCTTCCATGACTCAGCCCCTTATTTTAGCAGGCCAAGTGGCTTCATGCATACCAATATCCTTTATGAGATATAAATGTCTACTTACATTTTTATTACAGATTTTAATATAAGTTTTATCTTATGGCTTCTTCTCTCATTAGGTCATGATAAATATATTTTACCAGGTTTTGACAGATTTCATAAGAAAGAAAAAATAGTATTGGTAAATAATTTCCTCTAGCAAGCCAGGTTCATTCTATATGAACATTTTTCTTCTTATAAAACAAGAAGGTCAGTTTTTCAAATAAGAATTTTAATTGGAATCAAATCTCTAGTCCTAAGGCTAGCAAGTACCATGCTACTCTAGAACCCTCTCAAAAAGAAACTGTAAATCTGGTTCTATAGAACTTTGTATTTAAACTAACAATGCAGTTCCATAAAAAAAATCAGTGTTGTATTTTTCTTAACATTTATTAAAACATTAGACATAAGCTGAGTGGGGGGAAATGGTGATCAAATGCTAAAAATATAAACATAAAAAAGTAAACATAAAAACAAATCCCTTTTTAAAAAATCATTTAATTACAAGAAAATTCGCCAGAAAATTGCATAGTTCCAAACAAATTTTGTCTATAAAAACAAGTGTTCATTTGCCATCTTTTAAAATTTATCTTTTAAATAACGTCTCATCTACTGAACCTAGCCTTTCCTGGCAAACATTATAATATACAAGTTTTCTTCATGTTAATATTTCATAAAACAACTGGCTTTTGTTCCTGAAGTTAGGAGGATGCCTATCATTTTATTTTCAGAGAAACTTTAAAATTACTCCCTGGTGACTATTTCAATTAACTACTCCCAAAATCCAATGCAAAAACAACAAAAAACACTGCTATTTTACTGAAAGATTTCTGTCTTCCATTTCATTTTACCAGCGCAACTACAAATTCGGAGAAAAGCTTCTGAAGTCCTGCAGTTTCAAATTCCTTTTGTAATTCATCCAACGCTGAATACTCTTTGACTTCAAATGCCAGAAACCTGCATTATACAAGAGAAACTCATGAATATGCCTAGATTTGTCAGAGTATAATTATCGATTCAGTTGCTTTTCCATCTGCAATAGTTCTAAATTATACCTTTTGTGTTCTGTCTGTACTTTTGTTTCAAACAGTACACTAATCATTTTCTCTTTGCATTTCTTTCCACTTGAGTCCACATCTACTTTGGAGGTTTTCTGAAGAATCAGGTACTCCTAAATAATAAATCAGTACATTAAATACATATCTTACTCTGAATCTCACAGTCCTCATTTTAAAGGAGCCATAAACCTATAGGCTTATTTTCATGCTTAAAGAGTGCTCTCTTTTTTAATCAAGCAGTAAGAATTTTTACATACTTGTTTTTACATACTTGGCAGAATAATGTAGTGGTGGATACAGGAGTAAAGAACAATATAATCCAAATCCTCAAGTTTACATCTGGATTGAACTGCCCACTAGTTCTTACTCTGGACTGGTTATTTAAATCCTCTGTGGCTCAGCTGCCTTCTCCATAAAATGGGAGTATAACATGTTATACTCATGGGGAAGTTGTACTGATTAAATGAGATAATACATGCAAAGCACTAGAGGAGTACCTGGATATAGCACCACTGCACACTTGCAAGCACAAGCTACTGTTCTTACGGTTACAAATTCAGCAGCTAAATGACATTGCCAGGCACACAGCACTTACCATTCCAAACTGACAACATCTATAAATATGCACCTATTATACATTCTCGATCCTAGTATACAATCTTACAAAAATATAAGAGAAATTTATATAAAATGATATTTTAGAAACAGCTAAAAAAGATCTCCTAGAAAAGTATTATTTCTCTACATTGGCAGAGTTCTAGTAAATATGAATAAACACTTGTTAATTAATTGATGTTTCAATCTGAGTAACAACATCTGCAAAACAGCTGTGTTTAGCCTAATATTCCTGAGCTGGCTTGAAGAGAAATCTGAGCCTAAAGGTAAAGATGAGCAAGAAAATTAATTTTTATTTATTTTATCCAATAGTCAGCTACTATTTTACCCAAAAGGGTCAAACGTTATAGATATACTACAAATCACTTTAAAACAAGTGGCTCCTCAGTCAGCCCCTTGTATATATTGTATCTATAACATATATAGATACAATAATAATTCAGATAGATCTTAAATCTGAATTATTATTGTATCTATATATGTTAACACAGCACGAGTGTGGTTAACCACATGCCAAAGTAGTTTTGTGGTAAAAGCCCATCATGAAAAACTAGGTCATTATTCTATAAATCTTTAAGATTACGGGCTGTTCACCCTAAATTTGTCTTAAATAAATTCAAATGTAATTATTCACGACCTAACCTATCTGAAAGTATAAAACCTATTAAGTGGTTTGTAGCGCTTCTAAGATATAATAATAAACAGCTTTCCGCATCTTGTCCCACCTAAAACAGGTCAGATGAGTTTAGAATAAGAACTTGAAAAATCTGAAGAAGATGATGACTTTGAAAGCAACTGCTGAGACAAGTCAGGTGGAAAGCAAAAGTTAGGTAGGAGGTGACAAGTTGACAGTCCTAATGATTCTACTTCTACTAACATGAAATCTCGGCTATAACAGACAAGCTCCTCTTTCCAGGTATTATAGATACCAAATTAGAGTGTCAGAATGTATTTTTAACAGCCAGAAAGTTACAAATCTTCCAGACTATCCACAAATACATACTTTGCTGTGCCTCGCTATGGGAAGAAATATTAATATGCACAAACTTTTAGTGCACATTTATAAAGTTCAGGCTCATAGCTAATTACAGAAACAAACACTCATGTGCCACAGAGCTTTTAAAATAACCTGTCACTTTATTAAGTGACATGATTTTTACAATATAATCTTATTCTTCAAGCTTTGCAAGTTTGTACTTGTAATTAGCAGTCAGACATTTTTTTAAAAAGAAAATGAAGATCCATTAAGATGGTAATAATGAAAGCAGAAACATCTTAATAATTAGTCTATCCTACTGTTATAAAACACACTTAAAAACACACCATTTTAAGCAGAAAATAGCCAGATTCATACTCAACATTTAACTTTTTGGCACCTTGAGGTTGTTTCTGTCTCCTTGTAGTAAAATCAGTATCATTTTACCCATGAACATCAGTCTTCCTGTCAGCCTTAAATCTGAAGCCCACTTCTCCACAGTTTTGACATATTTAGTCTTTGCTCTCATGTGATCTAAATGCAAAAGAGTTATCCACAATCCATCATCCACGGTCGTGCTTGTTGAAAAAGTACATTTTGCATTGCCACTTCCAGTTTCCGGTTGGTTGAGGATATGCCTGAGATTCTGCTGAATCCAAAGAACCAGCTCATGAACCATAGGCTCTGACAAAAGGCTCTCTGCTTGCTCAAGTAACTTATCTTTCACAGTCACACACTGGGCCCTGGTCAACTGTTCAGAGTTAACCGAGATACCAGGTACACATGAAGGATAATTGACTGGCAAATGGAACACCAGTTCCAGAGGTATATCTGCATCCATCAATCCTTCAGCTTTTGTGTGAATTCTGAACACGGTCCCATCTGTCTCTGGAAGGGATGCAAAAATAATCATTAGCTGTATGTACATTATTCAATTTTAAGGGAACACTAGCAAGTTCAAACTTTTCTTTCAAATGTCAATTTATTTTTCATGAGAAAACTCTGAGCTATTTTATGAAGGAACATGTAATACTAGGAAAGCTATGATTTACAAATTATTTCCTTCAACTATACCCATATATTCATGTATTCACACACACCAACACCCTCGACTTAACTGGCATTTACACTTACTATCATCCCATTTTTATTAAGTTACCAAAAAGGCTTTTCATCATATAATTTTTTCTTCTAGCCAGACTTAGGTGATAATTCTGAAAATCCCTAATAAACTCATATAAGCTTTCAAAGATATAATACCATGTATATATAAAATCAGTAATTAATTTAAAAATTACACATGAAATCCAATGAAAGTCATTTTATGGTAAGTCCAAGCAAGTCAAAGCAAACAATGCAATCCCACGTGATTGTAGGGTTGCAGAGAAACTGATGACTGCATGTGACACAGTAACTGCCTGGCCCGCTCTCTTCTTATTTCAAATATATTAGTATCAGTGTAACATGAAGGTAGCAAGATGAACTGAAATTGAGTAGCCATCAGTTCTGCCTCTTCCGGCTCCTAAGAAGGAAGGGGAAAGCACACATAGGATATCAGATGAAATCCTCTGCTCTCTTTCAGATTTGCTCGGCTTCACCCTCTGATGTGTTCCACACCACTTCACGCCACTTTTCAAAAAGATGATAAAATGTCAGGCTGAGTAGAACAGAACTGGGTGCAAATAAATCTCTCTGAAGCTAACTTGCCTCTCTCCATCCCTGCTTCTCTCTGCACGTGCCCTTGCTTTATTCCTCTGCATGAGAGAAGCAGTCAAATCTTTCCCATTTTCGTACCTGGATTGCTGCTCAACAGCCTCAACGCCTGAAACCTGACTGTATCCCCATTTTAAAGAACCTAACTGAACACTAAAATTGCTTCCCAGCCTTCTGATTCCACATATATAAAAGCCATTGCTACAGACATTGATTCATACAGGACCAAACACATTTGTTAGAGTTTTTCTTTCATATACTCTTCAGTACCACCTTCAAAGAACTACTATTTTAGGACATCATCTGAAAACACAGACAATTAACTGTTATAAAGAACATATTAAAATGATACAATTTATATTTGTATTACATAAGTAAAATGTATACTGTATACCGCATAAAGAAAAATTTTCCAGATCTAACTTTGTACATTCCTCTAAAATCCATCATGTTTCTTAAAACCTTTCTTTCTTCTAACTAGTAACTTATTCTTTTTTTTTTTTTTTTTGAGACAAAATCTTACTCTGTCACCCAGGCTGGAGTGCAGTGGCATAATCCTGGGTCACTGCAACCTCTACCTCCCAGGTTCAAGCGACTGGTCTCAAACTTCTGACCTCAGGTGATCCTCCCATCTCGGCCTCCCAAAGTCCTGGGATTACAGGTGTGAGCCACTACACCCAACCTAACTACTTATCCTTTTTAAAAATACATTTTATTGTTAAAGTAGGCTGCCTATGTTAAATCAGTGCATTTCAATAAGTAAAACAGACATTACAAATAGAACTACAGACAACACATGACCATTTGGGCAAATAAACTTTCTAGTAATCATCTAGAGAGTTAACATTCTCTCTTCAAGGAGGAGGAGAACTTTTAAAGATCTTCATTCATGCATCATTCAACAAACATTCAGTGAACACCTACTAAGCTCAAGGCACTACTAGCCTCTGAGAGAAATGATAGGTAAGATACAGATCCCATCATAGTGACTCAATCCAGTGTTTCAGAACATGAAAGGGAGGACATATCCCAAGTGTCCTTCCTTGACTTCTCTTCTACATCTAAACATTTCTTTATTCATAAATATGCATACATATACACATACATATAATTTATATAAACATAAATGCATGGTGGTAGATAATTCTCCAGGGACCTGGCATTTCTGAATGCCTTCTGAGCAAAGGGCATCTATGGCTTTGTTCAAGAACATCTGTGTAACTGACAACCTTGGAAGCTAGAGTTTCTCCCTCCAGATCAGGAGGTAGATTTGTTTCCTAAGCAATATAAAATAACATATTCCTCAGGACAAAGATTGAGCAGGATCACTAACAAACCCCTCATAACACCGGAGGGTTCCTAAGTTCACTGCTCCTCAGGTATAACAAAGACCCACTGAGCGCATAGTGTGTACACCTCAGTCTACCTCCACATCACTCCACCGGACTTGGGGGACAAGGAGAATCAATGTGAATATAAAGCTAATGCTGCCTGCTGTGCAATAAGCGGTAACTGCCCAAATCTTTCCAGGTTCACTGTCTCCTTACTAGCTGAATCATGGAAGTGTGCTAGTGACCAACGACATGCAGCTGTCACTGCTGCCTAGCAATGGCTGGGCCACTTGATAATATATACTTTTTAAATTTAGTCATCTTGCTCCTTTTCACTGTTTAATCTGATAAAGAAGTGTCTTCCTCACTTCCACAGGAAACGCTATCACTGTTCTTGTGCTTGATTTTTGTTTTTGTTTGCGTTTTGAGACTGGGTCTCACTCTGTCACTCAGGCTAGAGCGCAGTGGGATGATCATGGCTTATGGCAGCATCAACCTCCTGGGCTCAAACAGTCCTCTCACCTCAGCCTCCTGAGCAGCTGAGATTACAGGCATGTACCATCATGCCTGGCTAATTTATTATTACTATTTCTTGTAGAGATGGGGGCCTTGCTATGCTGCCCAGGCTGGTATTGAACTTGTAGCCTCAAGCAATCTTCCCTTATTGGCCTCCCAAAGTGCTGGGATTACAGGTGGTATGCCACCACACCTGGGCAGTGCTTGCATTTTCTATCCCTCCCTCTAATTATTCCTCTCCTCCACTAACAAAATATTTTCTCCTTGCATAAAAAAAATTCAGTGCTACTAATTCCCTTAAGCTACGGACCTATCATTCTCTATCCTTTCATCTGCAGTCTTCTTAAAATATAATTCTCTCCACCTGCATCCATTTTCCCACCAGCCACTCTCTCTACAACTACTTGTACTGTGGCTCCTGACATAACCTTCTCTCTGAAGCTCCCATCTCAAACATTACCAATGACCTCCTAATTGCCACTGTGCAAGAAAGAGAAAACTCAACAGGAGTGGGTTGCTCAAATTCTGCACATTCCCATGATCAGCCTGTCTTTAGAACTGGCCCATGGCTGGCTCCTGAGAGCTGAGCTCAGAGTCCTGGTAACATTCTTCCTGTTAAGAGTATGGCCAGGCACAGTGGCTCAAGCCTGTAATCTCAGCACTTTAGGAGGCTGAGGCGGGTAGATCACGAGGTCAAGAGATCAAGACCATCCTGGTCAACATGGTGAAACCCCGTCTCTACTAAAAATACAAAAAAATTAGGTGGGCATGGTGGCATGTGCCTGTAATCCCAGCTACTCAGAAGGCTGAGGCAGGAGAATTGCCTGAACCCAGGAGGCGGAGGTTGCAGTGAGCCGAGATCGCGCCATTGCACTCCAGCCTGGGTAACAAGAGTGAAACTCCGTCTCAAATGAAAAAAAAAAAAAAAAAAAAAAGAGTTTTGGTTTGTTTTTTTGTTTTGTTTTGTCCTGTTTTTGTATGTCTGAAGTGTGGGACCACATAGTGTCTGTTTGATTCAATGATTTAGGCTAACAATGTGATTTATGGTAAATCTTCTTGCTCTAGAAATGAGTCACATAGGTACTACATGCTGAAAAGATTGACCCCCAATTAAAATTCTCACAAGGAGGCTCAAGTGAGCATTCCTGGTTGGGAACACACCTCACGTGTTGTCACACTTGATTGCTAAGAAAATTAAGCATGTGTGTGTGACTCTTCTGGAGGGGACATCTGGAGCTTGCTCCCAGTTTCTCCCAGACGTCATTCCATGCTAGTCTTTTCTTTGCTGCTTTTAGTCTGTATCCGTATGACATAATAAACTACAACCATAAATATAGCAGTGTTCCTGAGTCCTATAAGTCCTTCTGGCAAATCACTGAGTATGAAGGTGGTTTGGGCACCCCTGACATAGCCGCATTCGTGGCTACCTTTCTACAGCACCCGAACCTGCTGAACCCATCTCAGAATTCTCTCTTCCCTTAGCTCCCAGACACCACGGTGTCCTGATTCTTTTCTTATGTCTCTGCTCATCACTGAACTGGTTTCTCTACTTTTCCTAAACCCCTAAATGACAGGCATTCTGTAAAGCATAATACCATGAATAACTTTCTTCCTCCAGTTATCTAGACATAATTTTTTTTTTATTATTTGAGATGGAGTCTCACTTTGTTTCCCAGGCTAGAGTGCAGTGGTGTGATCTCGGCTCACTGCAACCTCCGCCTCCCAGGTTCAAGCAATTCGCCTGTCTCAACTCCTGAAGAGCCAGGATTACAGGCACCTGCCACCAGGCCCGGCTCATTTCGTATTTTTAATAGAGATGGGGTTTCGCCGTGTTAGCCAGCCTGATCTTGAACTCCTGACCTCAGGTAATTTGTCCCCCCCCAGCCTCCCAAAGTGCTGGGATTACAGGTGTGAGCCACCACACCCAGTCTAGGCATAAAATCTTAAAGCTGGCTCCCACTTCCCCCCCCCCCCGCCCCGCCCCGCTTCTTGTTTCATACTTAACATTCAACTGCCAAATCCCACAAGTCCTCCAGAATTTCTCTCCCTTCCACTCACATGACCACCCTCCTAATTCAGGCCTTTCTCTGGCTTCTGCAATAGTGGTCTCCTCACTGTCTGCCTCTCCCCACACCAAATCATCCCAATACCACTCTCCCAAACTGACAAATGAATTACAAATTCTTCCATGCAACACCTAGGGCCAGCCTACCACTCTGACTTCCTCTCTCCTCACTCTTTGCTTCAACTACCCATTTTATACCATGTCCTCAGTCTTGGGTGTCCCATCTCTGCATCTTCCTCCTACTATCCTGTCTTCCAAGAAGGCCCTTAACTTTCTGTCTACTAAAATTTTGTCCAGCTCCACAGTTCCTCCCTAAGTCCCGCCTAATGACTTCCATGGTATTTCAAACTTATTTTATGGTATTTTCATGCCCAGAGTTATTGTGGTTAAACTAAATTAACATTTTCTCCAGCACTGAAATATCTCAATTTTCTTCTTAAACAAACACAAAAATGGGGGGGGGGGGATACAAAAAACTTTTAAATTTTACAGTGATACACCTCTTGGAATTGTGCTAGTAGCCTGTAATCATGGATCTCACAGGTGCAGAAATCCCTGGTACCTGTGATAGACTAAATAATGGGCCCAAAGATGTGCATATCCTCTTTCCCAGAAGCTATGACTACATTCCCTCACATGGCAAGAGGGCCTTTGCAGACATGATAAATGAAGGATTTTGAGAGGGGGAGATTATCCTGGATTACCCAGGTGGTCCCCAAATGTAATCACAAGTGTCCTTATAAGGAGGAGGCAGAGATTTTACTACAAAGGCAGGCAACGTAGCCATACTGAAGCGAGAGGCTATGCTGTAAACGTTAAAGAATCCCTTTCTCATCAAAATCCTGAGATCCATAGTGTTCTCCAACCTTTGCCACGTAAACACCCACCAGGTCCTCTCTAGTGCAGGGAACCACACGAAAGAAACATGTTGGTAGCCCAGGGGAAGAGTCTTGAAAGGCTATTGAGCCAGCCATGTCAGTCCTTACCAATTTTCATTTTTCTCTGTTATTTTCTGGTCCTAGTCAGCAAACAGAATAGCAATGGGGGAAAATCCTGACTTTCACCTTAGAAAACTGTGAGAAACTACTAGTTATATGTTCAGAAGAAAACTGCCTTAATTCTTTTAAGAATTGGAAAGGATTAGCATTCTTCCTGATTGGCCTTGGTAAATCCCCTGCCCACCCACCCACATACTGTAGCTGCAAAATGAGATTATACAAAATGATACTATCATCTCTACAAGAAACTGAAAAGCCCAATAACACACTCCATTCTGCTAGTATTTAATGTGGCGATAAAATTGTGTACTTTAAAAGCCCATTTTATCCCAAAAACTCTAGAAGTATGTATGTACTCTTCCATTTCTCATCTGCCTGAGATTGTACAAGCAATTAAACTGGCTCCTTTTTGCCTCAGAATTTTTCACATAAGACACACACTGTAAGTCTGATTTTTTGTTTATTTTTTGCCATAATAAAAAAGAAAACAAAGTTGCCCCTATCTGCTTTAAGGTTATTAACAGCTTATAAAAAGAGTAATTAGCAGAAAAATAATTATGCTCTCAATCTAATACTGATCTCTGCCCCTCCTTGGCCCCCCCAAAACTTTGGTTAATAAGCTTAATTCACAAACTGATCATTCTCAACAAACAGCTATGCCCTAGAAAACGTAAGGCTTGCCCCAGAAAACTAAAATTTCCGTAAGTCCAAGGAAAGACCCTACCAAAAAACTGTGGGACGCCCTCTGGTCGAAGTTGATACAAACTGACTAGTTGTTGTTTCTAACCAAATCACTCTGCCTTACAGTAAGGGTATCATTTTCATAACTAAACCACAAACTGAAACAGGTTTCAAACATACTTCCTTACAAACATCCGAAAGTATGATCCTAACCACATTCCAAACAGAAATTCAAACTAGAGAAACTAAACTTTTAGAACTCCAAATCCACCCTAATGCTATTTTTTAGGTTTCATTCTACTTCATAAACTACAACACACAATAGAAACCCTATAAATACAGTCAAATAACAAAAGACACTGAAAAAGATAAAGTTTAAGAGAATGGGTTCTTCAGGATTCACTAAGAGCCCATTAAGAAGTTCTTTACATACTATATACATCTGACTTTCCCTACACTTGTATTTTTCCTTTGCAGTTGTTACATATTCTCAACATACAGCTTTGAAGAAAACCACTAAGAAGTCTCCAGCCCCCTCTCATGCTTTATGAGATGAGACTGTCCTGCCTCCTGCTCCCAGGCAGCTCCCAGGCGAGCACACACCAGTGCTTGTTTGATGCTTCAGCTGTATTTTTACATATGATTCAATGTAGCTACAGAAGAAAAAAAAAAAAAAACTAAAAATAAACGAAGCTAAAAGTGGCAATCTCATGCTATACAAGTGAAGTTCAAGGCTAAATCGGTTTTATAGACCTGAGCTCAATACTGACAATCAGTAGAAAACCAAGCTGAGCAGATTTAGAAGGGTCAACGTGTGACAGTCATGATTCATTTTATAAGAGGGCCCAATCTAATCTGAACATTAACATTGATAAAATACAAAAATTCACTCTGCAGATACTGTGAAGACATATTACATGATACTGGGTTCTCCCATCGTACAACTTTTTTATCTGTGAGATGATTTCCAGAAGCACAACTCCCACCTATAGTGAACATTGACCATGCCCACATAATCTCTGTGTTGCTCAATTTCCCCACCAAGAAAATGGTGAAACAATACCAATCTCACGCCTCTCACAGATAAACACACATACACAAACACTCCCCTTTGGGACTGTTCTGAACATAAGTTGGCTCACACATCTTTTCTCTGGGTGCTCATTATTGCTCTCTGGACAAGTATTTCTTTGCTTTCCAAGAACTATTTTCCTGATGCAACAGCCCCATCTCTATGAAGGATCATGATGCAGTGCAAAGGCCCATACACCTGGAGCCTGATGGTTATTTAACCAGTCTGAGTATCAGTTGTCTCCTCCGTAAAAGAAGACCAATAGTAGTACCTTCATAGGGTAAGATGCATTTAAAGTATCATGTACATGGCAGGTCACCCCATCAAATCTGGCACCTGGACTGACTACAGAAAAACAGAATATCCCTAATGTAGTCTACCCACAGCCCTTCCTTGTAGATGGGCGTGTCGGGACTTACATAATCTGTACCCCTAAGAGATGGTTATGCCTCTTACTATGAGCTTAGTATAACCACGATACAGAGATCAAAAGGCAGATAAAATCCCCTGAAATTCTCAGCATAAAATTAGTCCAGCTAAATGGAATCCAATTATTCAGCTTCTTCAATCCTACAGCCTCAATACTTGACCCTTGGGTTAGCAGTCTGAGTCTTCCTCGGTCATCTTGTTACCAGAAATGCAATTCCTCTGCAACATTCTCCTGATTCCAGTGGCAAAAGGGAGAACCTGATCTGGGGGAAGCCAGAAAAGAACTGGTGTTTGGAGTGTTCTAGTATGAAGCTTGTATCCTCCAACTAAGACTGACGGAGATGGTGAGTGTGTAGCCAGCAGCCTGCCACATGTTTACTGTGGTCCCTTAAAGAAGTCCTCACTTCGTGAAAAGATGTTACAAAAATCATGAGGAAAAAAAAAAAAAAAAAAAGTCCTTATCTTACCCTTCATTCCCAGTTGTGAACATCAAACATCCCTGTTTCAATCACTGAATTGTTCTACCTCTCAGCAACAAAATGCCCTAAGTTGTTACATTGAAGTCTTTTATAATTCAATTACTTATTGATGCCAGAACACTGAATTAAATTAATTAGGAGGCATGGCTTGAAAGTCATGCTCAATTTAACAGCAGATAAAGAGTCCACAGTGTTCTCAAGATTAAGAAACTATTTTCTTTCTATGCTTATATTTTTGGGTTTTCTCTGACCTTTCGGCAGTGTTTTATGCTCAGCTCTGTACTAATGACCCAGACTATTACCAGTTCTTTAAGGTGTGATGGGAAATCACGGGTTCATTTTTCCAGGACATTCCCAACTGAGCCATAATAAAGGAATTTAGGAAAACTGATGATCTCTTCAAATAGCTGCCTCAGGCAGAAGTAATTATCAATAAAGAGAACAGTGGAGCCAGAGAGGGAGATGGTGAAGAATTACCCAATCAGAAGAGGGATGACAAGAAAACACTAAAAGTGAGTAAATCCCTTCATATGGATTTTAAACAATTGTTTCAAAAAGATACAAGGCAAGCTAGGCACTAAAAAGCAAGCAGCTCCATTGCACTAATAGATGCATAGGGCCTGGAACATAACAGGGCTCAACGAGTGGATGTAGGTGGATGAATGCAAGAAGGATTAAATGAAGTCAACTCCTGTTCTTCAGGGAATAACATACCTGATGGATACCATGAAAGATCTTAAGCTTAGATGGTTTTCTCACAACATCCAGCTCATTTTTAGACTACCTTCTTCAAGGGAACCTTCTTAAAGGTTAACCGATTTATGGTCAAAAAGCCAACATAACATTAGAACGATCAATCTCGTGCACCAAAAGTGTACATAATGTATCTAAAAGCTAAGTGAAAACTGAGGATCACCTGCATCGCTGCGCTTTCTCATCAATGGCAGTTTTTATTTTTTGGTTTGGTTTTTGTTTTTTACTCAACAGAAGCCACATACAGGGACAAAGTAAGTTTTGCCTATCATCAAAAATAGTCAAAAGAACCTCTGTACACTGTAAGCTCCTAGAGGCCATGGGTAGCAGTGCCTCTGAAACCCTGTCAAAGTCTGCAGGGAGCAGGGATTCAATCAATGTGGGCTAAATGACTAATAGAACCCTCAAGAGCTTGCTTTTTTAAAAAAAGTATCTGAAGGCCTGTCGCTGGTGGCTCACGCCTGTCACTCAGTGCACTTTGGGAGGCCAAGGCAGGCGGATCAACTGAGGTCAGGAGTTGGAGACCAGCCTGGCCAACATGGTGAAACCCCATCTCTACTAAAAATACAAAAATTAGCCGGGCATGGTGGCACGAGCCTGTAATCCCAGCTACTCGGGAGACGGAGGCTGCAGTGAGTCGAGATCGAGCCACCACCGCACTCCAGCCCGGGCAACAGAGAGAGGCTCTGTCTTAAAAAAAAAAAAAAAAAAAAAAAAAAAGTATCAGAAAGCAATTAACTTGTTAACAGAATGCAGGTAAAGTTAAGGTTGAGCACTGGCTAAATTAAGATGTTCAGTCAACAAACATTTACCAACTACATACCATGTGCCTGGCCGGCACCGTTCTAGGTGCCTGGAGTTATTACCAAACAGACAGGGTCGTTGCCCTCGTGCAACTTAAGATGTCCAAATACCCATGAAGGGTCACAACGGGGGAGTGCTCTCGAGGGCCCAGGGCACAGCGCTTAGGAAGGACCCAGAACGCCGAGGGGCGTCGGCACAGGCTTCTTTCCAGGCTGAGATCCGAAGGGCGGGAGGCTGGCAGGGCCTGGGGCCGCGCAGCGCAGAGGCCGGCGGCTCCGGGCACGACCCGCGACGGGGGCCCCCGGGGGCGGCGCCGCTCTTTCCGGGTTTCCGGGGTCTCCTCACACTCCCGCCCGCTGCGACACCACTCCGGCCTCCAGGGCCTGTCACGCCATCATTCAACTAATCCGGTCCCCAAACGTGAGCCCAGGCGGGGTGCCCAGGCTCGGCGGTGGGGAGGAGCCGCAGAGACAACGCGGGCGGCCCCTGAGGGCGCCCTGTCTCTCGCGCGCGGGGGTAGTCACCTGAGCGGCTCAGCACCTCCCACTCGTGGGGCCCGCAGAAAATCGCGGCCAGGGCCGAGAGCTCCTCCCGCACCGGTTCCGCCATGGCTGTGGGCCCCGCCGCTTCGGCGCTTCCCCTTCCGCCGCCGCCGCCGCCGCCGCCGCTGCCGCCACCCGCCAGGAGCAACACCGCTCGCTGCCACCCGGGGGCGCCCTGCGCCTCCGCAGCCGGGCGGATCAGGGGCGGGGCGAGACGGGGCGGGGGCGGGGCGAGACGGGCGGGGGCGGGGCGAGACGGGGCGAGGGCGGGGCGAGACGGGCGGGGGCGGGGCGAGACGGGGCGAGGGCGGGGCGAGACGGGGAGGGCCCTTAAAAGTTCCGCCCAGACGCGCCTGCTCGTTAACAACTGACGCGAGGCTCAGCCCCTCGGTTTGGGGGTTTTCTTGGAAGCCTAGGTCCAAAGCCTCAGTCTGCCACGGAGGCGACCGCCCAGCTTCCCCGCGGCTCTTCTGAGGAAAGGGAGGCCTCCCAGCAGAGCCTGAAAACCTGTAAATTTGGCTGCAGGCTTCGAACCCTGACCGTCCCCGCCCAGCCTTGGGCTGCTGGGTGGAGATGAACTGGGCTAAAGACACCTGAGAGTGAGGCAGAAACAAACAAGCAGGGAAGTGGCCGGGAGACGAGGTGAGACCTTGCCCGGTTCCGGTTTGAACTGAGTGTTTTGGAGAAAACCACAGTTAACAAAATAAACAGAATTCTCCGCCCCCTGCAGCTGTTAGCCACCCAGGCGTCTGGAGGTTGTTGCTAACCCGGGAGAGGCCTGGGATAGTCACAACCTGAGGATGCCTGCCCCAGCTGGTACTGGCGCCGGGACTCGACGAGGTCGGGACTCCAGGGCCTCTTTCCCCTTTCGGGTGCAAAAGGGGAGGAGCAGGACCTGGCAGTTCTGGCTTCAGGATTTTGACTGGACGGAGCTGGACCTCTTGGGAACTGTGCGCCGAAGTCCTGGGAGCAAGGCCGTAACGCTCCTCGTTTGTCTGCTGCCTTCACAGGGGACAGCCCTGCTGACAGCGGCCAGTGGGAATCCTTGGCCACTGAGGGTATGATTCAAGAGCGTAAACGCTAGCTTTTCAGTGTTTTAGATTTTGTGATATTCGATGCATATAACACAATGTGACTCTTGAAACTTAATAATGAAATTATTATTCTTGAGTCCAGATCCTAAATTTTAAAATGTGAGCAATACCAATAGGGTAACAGGATGAGCCATCCATTCTGTTTTCATTATAGTGAACAAGACTACAATACTTACCTGCAGTAGGTCTGTCTCTAGGATGTTTGCCTGGTCTTTTTGCTTTTCAAGTAACAATCTAAAATTTGGCAGCCCCCAAAAGCAGCTGGTCTTGCTCATGGAGTTCTCACAACTTTTGTTTGTATGAGAAATCACATTTCATGAGATAAATCAGGGAATTTAGATTGTTATGCAGTGACTCCTGTCATTGACCTCCAGAAGTCATGACAACGTTGGCTGATTTTAAGACCCTGCATCCATTCACCATTACCATTCCCACTGTTGGTAAAAAAGGAATTTGATAAAGGAAAAGATACTGGCTTCCTGGAACAGAAAGGAAACCTAACAAGATGGACTACAGGGAAAATGCTTTTCAGAAGATGCCATGGGATTTCAGTGACCCCAAGTAATTAGGAGCACATAATTGGGAAGATGAAGTCTTATTTAAACTCATAGTTCTCTCTGATATGGCCAATTGGCTTAATGAAAATTTAAAAAAAAAAAAAAAAAACCCTCCTTTATTTCCAAAATAACAGACATTCCAGCAGTTTAGTAGGTTCGTAATCAACTGCTAAAGAGATTGAACAAAAGAATAAATGTTTAATTTAAAATATTACTAAGTTAACTTGAAGTACAGTGTTACTATTAAAAGTCAAACAATTTGGTTTTCGACTTATTTATTAAAAATAATCTATAAAATAGGCCAGCACAGTGGCTCATGCCTGTAATCCCAGCACTTGGGGAGGCCGAGGGAGGCAGATCACCTGAGGTCAGGAGTTCGAGACCAGCCTGACCAACATAGTGAAACCCCATCTCTACTAAAAATACAAAAATTAGACCAGGCATGGTGGCTCATGCCTGTAATCCCAACGCTTTGGGAGGCTGAGGAGGATGGATCACCAGAGGTCAGGAGTTGGAGACCAGCCTGACCAACATGGTGAAACTCTATCTCTACTAAAAATACAAAAATTAGCCAGGTGTGGTGACGGGCACCTGTAGTCCCAGCTACTCGGAGGCTGAGACAAGAGAATTGCTTGAACATGGGAGGCAGAGGCTACAGTGAGCCAAGATCATGCCACTGCACTCCAGCCTAGGCGACGAGCAAGACTCCATCTCAAAAATAAAAAATATTTAAATATCTTTTACTTATTTTTAATTTTCCAAATTCACTGTGAGATGAGTGAAATAACATGAACAGCAAAATTACAGCTGTCGGAAGGATTAGGAGGCAAATGCCGAAGCCCACTGTCAGCAAGGGGTCTGTGAAAATTGAAGAGTACATCAATCTATTATTTAAAATCTTGTCAACAGGTTTCTTCTTTGCTCTTCCTTTCTCAGTTGATTTCTTAACCTGCCCTTCATACCTCATTTAGCATGTTTAAATAAAAAAGAAGTCAATGTGAAATGTCTTTTAAATTGACACTATCCTAAGGCACTGAAGTCCCATGAATAAGTTTCTGCACTCTGACATTTGGAAATAATCATCTCAGAGACAGCATAATGTCAGCTTGATATTTCTCGCACTGTGAAAATATCAGCTACATGTCAAATCTCTAAAGTCTACCTTAATGTAATAAGTTTTCTTGTATTCACAGGCTACTGAAAATTCAAAATATTTAAATGTAAGATGAATGTCTCCAGTTAGAGCATTGTCTGTGTCCATCTCTATCTCTCCCTTCTCTCCCTTGCACACACAAAAGTATGTGATTTGCTAGAACAGTATTATTTTTACATGCAAATTTTCTAAATAGTTGCTTCCCCAAGACCATAAGGGGAAAAGGTTTAAAACCTTTCTGCTTCAATTAAAACCACTAACCCAGAAGATAGTTCTTTTCGTTTTGGAGGGGAACAGTTCTATTTACTTTCTCATGAGTAGTATGTAGATTTGCACAACTCCGAGTTTGAACTCTTAAGTCAAAATTCACACGAGCGTAGAAATGAGAATGCACAATATCAAGAATATTAGGAGAGGTTAAGTGTTATGTCACAAAAAGGTGAGGATCCTAAGACTGGAATGGAATGGAGTGTGATAAGAAAAAATATCAAATCAGCCAGGTGCAGTGGCTCACATTTGTAATCCCAGCACTTTGGGAGGCTGAGGCAGGTGGATCACCTGAGGCTGGGAGTTCGAGACCAGCCCGATGAACATGGAAAAACTCCGTCTCTACTAAAAATACAAAAATAGCTGGGTGTGGTAGTGCATGCCTGTAATCCCAGCTACTCGGGAGGCTGAGGCAGAAGAATTGCTTGAACCCGGGAGGCGGAGGTTGCGGTGAGCCGAGATTGTACCATCGCACTCCAGCCTGGGCAACAAAATCAAAACTCCATCTCAAAAAAAAAAAAAAAAAGAAGAAGAAGAAAAGAAAAAAAAATATCAAATTAAAACTGAGAAAAATAAAAGTGCTTTCATGAGCCACCAAACAAACAAAAGAGGACTGAAATGCCAGCTTTCTAAATAAATCTGAACTCCAAGAAGCTGTGCTACTGGTTCTGTCTAAAGAGTTTCTGCATTCGCATACTCATTTCACAGAATGTTCCTGGAGACTCACTGACTGTTGGCCTGGCTCTGCAGGCCGAGTGTGGAGAGGTTAGAGATGAAAACAAGTTCATGTTTCCAGTAACTACAGCCGTTGGTCTAGACAAGTAAACACAATATGCAACAATGACAAGTTCTTCCACCAAGCTGAGGGTGCAAGAATTATCACATTTCCTTAGTGGTCTGAAGTTCAATATTATGATGTAGGTTAAAGTAACAGTGAAAGTAGCACCCCACAATTTCCCAGAGGAGGAACAATTTGGAAATGCTCAGGAACATGGTAGGCCTTCAAAAGTACGCAGACTCTGGGACGTTAACTGGTCATAGTTCTTTTGTTCTGGTACAGTATACAGATCATAAATTTACTTCTCATCATATCATAATAACAAAAGCAAATAAAATCTATGAGAATTTGCCACCGACTCTGTGATCAGACCCTTGTGTGGAAAGATCTGCCTCCATCATGCCCAAGTAATCTGTACTCCCTCCAAAATACTGGCTGCATTCTGCCATGCTTGATTTCTATGCATGAATGATATCAAGACAGTTCCAGCTTGTTTATGGGAACCCATCCATATGGCCCAAATCCACCGATACGAAAGCTCAATGCCTTCTCGATGTTATAAAAACAAGTCACTGGTATCATTAGGGTTTTTGAGTTTTCCTAGTTAAAATAGTATCCAATACTTAATTTTGGTGACTACTATAAATGGATTCTTCTTATTCATTATATCTTCCCATTGTAGTACTAGTGTAGCCAGTTTTTATTCTGTAAAAGAGGGTTGAGGATTATGTGACTTTTTAAATGTCCCTTTATCCAAACTCACAAAGGGACTATCCGTGAGTAAACTCTGCCATTTTAGCTAAAGTGATTGAAAATGGAAAGAGAGATGTATATCAAAAAACCACAGGTATAATGGGGAAAATTAGACCTGGATTTCCTTTTTAAAAAAATATACTGGAAGGAGGGAACAAGGTAGGAAGGGAAAGAGAAAAAGAAAAAAAGACGAGGGAGGAAGAAGGGGCAGGGGGAAAGGGAGTATAAACAAGAAACGAAAAGAATGATTTTTACGAGGCAGAAGAAGCCATGAGTTAAGAAATTTGTCTTTATGTCAGGAGAAAATAAAAAAGATTGACTTGCCTGCTTCTTAAATAAAGAAGTCTGAAACTTGATTTAATATCAATAAGAGATCTGAAATTTGATTCAAAATAATATAGGATGTGGAAACAGGCTACCGTCTGAGTGGGGCAGAAGCTGATCATAGGTTAATGATTGATGGCGGGGAGTGATGGGTACGTAAAGATTCAGTATTTCATTCTCTCTACATTTGTATATTTCATATTCTCTTTAATAAATGTGAATTTTTAAACTGTGTTCAGTAGATACTACATCAGGCTATTTGAGTTTTGCATAATGCTCAATTAAGGGAAAATAGACAAAAAACAAAGAGGTGAAATAGGAGGGAAGAAACAAGAAAACCAGGGTCAAACAGAGTGAATAGAGTTGGCAGATGATATTAAGAGATGGAAAAAGACAGGTTCTAAAGTGATATGTTTAACAAATGTATGATTTAGGATTAGTTCAGGTGAAAAAGGCACAGAGCCTAACCGTGTAGTGGCTTTAACAAGATACAATTGGTTTTCTCCTAAACATTCAAGTCCCGAGCTAAGCAGAGCTTTGGTGCTCCCCCGTGTCAAGAGACATGTTCTTTGTATTCTGTGGTTCTGCTCTGCACAGATTTTATTCCCATGGTTATGCTGTGGTCCAGGGTCACTATTGGAGCTCCAGCCACCAGTCAAAAGAATGGAATTCAGTCCAATTTCATTGTCTAGAACTCAGTCCCCATGACTGCTGCC